TTCTTATATAAACACAGAGATGTGTTAAGATATGACACAGGTTGTGTGTTAAAACTGACACAACATGTGTTGTCCCTGAGCACACACACTACATGTGTTAAAATCTGTACAACATGTGTTGTCCTTGAGCACACACACCTTACATGTGTTAAAATCTACACAATATGTGTTATTTTTAACATCTCTTTTTACAGGTTGTGTTGTTTTCAGCACATCGTTTTATAAGAGCGCTGACACTCACCATCGATGTGCACCGTATACAGTGTTAATGTTCTCAAACAAACAGGTCTGAGTAATCAAAATATATGAATATAGACTACAGCCAGTAGTAGGGGCTGTCCCGCATGTTCTCAACCCGCCCATAGAGGGTGGGATCTCACTCACAGAATGTACACATAGTGTCAGCCATCTTTTTTTGGAAGCTAAGCTAGCAGGCTCTTGTTCTGTGGAGAAAGTAGGGGTTACCATCCTCTTTTTCCCGGACATGTCCGGCCGTCGAGATCGTACAAAATGTCCGGGATTCAGCTTTTGCTTTCTGCAGTCGCCATTCATTGTTTACATGCACACCGTTTGTTTCAATCTAACTGAATTCATTCCGATTGGTGAATCTGAATGTAGTGTTTACATGAACGCTAAACAAGTGATCGGTTAATGTGCGTTTTAACATTGCTAAGAAAATTCTCGCTCCTCCGTTAGAGATACGAGACCGGTGCGTCTCACAGGTGTCGGTCATCAGTAATCACGCCACCGGCCTCGCGCAGTTCTCCCGCGGCCCTCACTCGTCCTGCTCACCACAGTAAACATGATGAATGACGACTGCAGAACGCAAAAGCTGAATCCTGGACATTTTGGGCGATCTCGAAATCCCGGGCAGACTCATCACGGAGATTCACTAGTAGCCTAGACTTGTTGTTTAACTACTGCGCTCCGTTACCGGTAGGCGTGGCCTCCTAGGGCAGCGAAGCAAGTGCATTCTGGGAGTTGTTGTCTTTCATCCACATAAGCCAAAAATAAATTTTCTGGCTTTTCTCAGTCTAGAAAGCTCCAAATTCAAAAATAATTTCACATTTCTTCTACATAAATGACCCATTTTAAATACACATTCATCTTTCCAGAGGTGAAGTATCCCTTTAACTGTTATCTCTTCATTACATTTTCACAATAGCAGATTATCAATTAGAGGTTGAAGTGTGAATAACTGAATAATGTACAGTGAGTCTGTCAGTCATTGAGCTGAAACACTGTCTTCTACTTTGTGTGCGCATGCGTTCTGTACTCCACTATTGATTAAAGCTGCACTGTGTAGGATTTACTCACATCTAGCAGTGAAATTGTATGTAACTACCAACTGAATATTACTTTCTAGCCCCTCCCATCCCGAGTGCGTTTTAACTCTACGGTGGCGTATTATTCCCAGATTAACATGGCGTCCAGTTCGACTGCATCCATGAGTGTTCCTTCAAGTGATGAGGTGACTCTAGAAAACTATTACAAACTGCATTTAGTTATTTAGTCAGTGAACATGTAGGTTATGACCTCTATGTAAAACGAATAATAGTTTTACGCTTTCGTTATTTTGGTACCATTTCATTGCTAACATCAGCTAAACGAATGCAAGCTAATGTTAGTAAAGCATCAGTGCTATCGTTATTCTGTTTATTGTACGAGATGAATAGTGTAAGGCAATGTTTACAGCGTAGAATAGGCGTGATCCTCCATCTTCAACAGTAATCTCTCCTCGCACTCGTCACGGTGCCACTGACTGTAGAAGCACGAAAGCCGAAGCTTGAATTTCCAGGTTTGTCCCTCTTTGGCTCATGTATTTTCAAGATGAAGGCGTAACATGGCTGCCACCATGCAAGCGACTCGCTCATATGCAGTGATGGGAATAACGGCGTTATAACGCCGTTACTAACGGCATTACTTTTTTTCCAGTAACGAGTAATCTAATTGATTACTCTTCTCATCTTAATAACGCCGTTCCCGTTACTGCCAAAAAATGCGGCGCGTTACTATAACTGATGAAGCTGGGGTTTTTTTTTTCATCAGACCAGCTAGATCTCTGAGCGAGAGGCAAATGCTTTTTTTACTGTTCTTCCTTGGTTAGTGGGCAGAGCACGAGACAAGCGCATACATGCTGACGACTGAGGTAGAGTAAAATGTCATTGTAAGCCAATCAGAGGTAGAGTTGGGCGGGTGTTCGAAAGCACGCATAGTAGTGATGGGCATTCTGCACTTTTGACTCAGCTCACTGAAAAGAGCCGGCTCTTTTGGCTCACAAACGGCTCTTTAAATGACTTTGACTATAATATTTTTTTTTTTTTAACATAATTATTTAATTTCTATAGGCTAAATTTGTAAAAATAGAGTCGGCTCTTCAGATATGCGAGCCAGCTCCCGACGTTCACCTAAAAGAGCCGGCTCTTAGAGTCGCCTCATTCGCGAACGACCCATCAAAAGCTCATTCGCGAACGAGTCGATCCATCATCACTAACGGCTAACGCTCATGAATTGCGAACGACCCATCATAACGCATAGTCGGACAGGAATAACCTGTGGTGATAAAGGTCTAGTTCCTCCCTGTGCTCTGGGAAAGCTTGACTGAGCATTTCTCTGTAACTCCTGAAAGCAATTCAATTAAAGAGAAAGTGTTCAGGAAGACCACAGCCATGTCATCAGTCAACAAAAATCCATTTACTAAATAATATTAACTTGTCCGACTGCTTCATTTCCACTGTAAGAGTGTCATTAAAACCCTTTGTGTTGCAGTTACATCTGAATCAGCTCTTCCTCGTCGTCATCCTCTGGTCAGCAGAGCTCATGTGCGCTAACTAGTTTCTATAACTCGTTCATATGGACAATCAGTGTGAAATGATATGATGAAGTTTGACATTCAACAGAGAATGATACAAAAGCTGTAATTGCCCAGTGGTTTTGTTAACAGTTTTGTCTTTTCAACTTTTATAAAGCTAGTTCTAACATTAGTAGTCAACTGGAATTGCACTGTTTTCTTTCTGCAAGTAAACACACATTTTCTCATGTGTCACGTGTGTTTGGTAACACTTTAGAATACGGTTCGTTCGTAAATGAATAACTACACAAGAACCAATGAGTAACATAATATTAACAATCTAGTAACTACTATTAACTAACAAGAAACTCTGATTAACGAATTAGTAAGTAATAGCGCACAGATGAAAGTGGTACTTCACTATTAACTAATCAATAACTACTATTTTTTAATGCTTCCCAGAGAACTACTGAAAAAGTTTATTAAATATCTAGTAACTACTATTAACTAAAAAGAAGACTTCACTATTAACTAATCAATAACTACTATTTTTTAACTAACTAGTAATGACTCAAGTGTTCCTACATACTTCTATGGGAATTACTAATTATTAGGATCCGTGTTCTAAAGTGAAAATCATGGTAACTAACTAGTAATGACTCAAGTGTTACTACATACTTGTTCCATGCATCTTGTTAAAATCAGCATTTTTTTCAGTCATGATGATAATTTAAATTTAAATTTAATTTAAAGCTTTTGAGGTTTTTTGGTGAAGTTTTATATAGTAATTCCCATAGAAGTATGTAGTAACACTTGAGTCATTACTAGTTAGTTACCATGATAATCATTTACAGTAGCAGTTATTAAAGTTAATGTAGTGCTAGACATTTGTCCTGCATTGGTTATTGATTAGTTTTGCATGAATTATGAAACTTTTTTAGTAGTTCTCTGGGAAGCATTAACAAATAGTAGTTATTGATTAGTTAATTGTGAAGTACCACATTCATCTGTGCGCTATTACTTACTAGTTTGTTAATCAGTTTCTTTTTAGTTAATAGTAGTTACTAGATATTTAATAAACTTTTTCAGTAGTTCTCTGGGAAGCTTTAAAAAAATAGTAGTTATTGATTAGTTAATAGTGAACTACCACTTTCATCTGTGCGCTATTACTTACTAGTTCGTTAATCAGAGTTTCTTGTTAGTTAATAGTAGTTACTAGATTGTGATTATTGTGTTACTCATTGGTTCTTGTGTATATTCATTAACGAACGAACCGTATTCTAAAGTGTTACCGTGTGTTTTAATGTCCCGTTGACTGTTGTTCAGACAGGGAAAGTTCAAAGGTCGAGTTTAAGGGAAGATCCTGCCGGACACATTTCTCATTGTCTCTAATTTTAACTCTTTTGAACCTAAACTTTTTGTTTTTATTTATTACTGTTTCTTACAATACTTATAATGTCAAAGCATATTTACAGAGATCTGTGTGTCTCACTGTCAGTAGCTTTCCAGAAATTACGATTATAATCTTTGTTGTTTTATGTTTGCTATAACTCACTGTACAAGGCCACGGAGCATTAGAGATTTTGATCACAGCATTGTGTAATAAACATTATTTTCATGAGATATGTTTTAGTATGTCTAAGTAATGAATTTTATTAATGACTGAAATACTGTCAGCGAATGAAAATCTGCTATAGATCGTTACAGTTTTATAATTGTAATTTTTACAGTACGAGTCTATATTAAACAAGTGTAAAGGGAAACTGGACAAGGTCAGTAAATTCCAGATGTGTCCTTAGAGATGTGGACATTACTGAGTGAAATTTGGAGTAATTTTCATATAAATCAGATTGACGGCTCTGAGAGGTTTGATTTGCTGTTTATTTCTCACACTTTCCTCCAACCGTCGGATCATTAGCAGTAACAAACACACTTATATATGCACCTCAATCATAAATCAACAATCTATCATTAATATTCTTATCACAGATCTTGTTCAGTTCATGGTAGAGATTAAGCTGTTTCGATTAGTAATAAACTATAATATTCATCAAGCATTTTGAGCTTTATCATTTAGGCATATGTTCAGAAATATGTTGTTTTGTGGTGTATGAGGAACTGAATGTTGTCTTCAACTCTCGTCTGGTGTGTTTGATGAAGCTCTGGTCTTCTGAGGTGTAGATGAGCTCATAAGAGTCCCAGTCTTCATCTGCTCCATTACATGTATTTATCTAAACTCTCAATTGCTTCATGTTTAGAGTATTTTCTCCATTCATCTGGAATCTCACCACTCCCCTCAAATGTTTTACTGTAGTATTTTTCCAGATCTTTCTTAAATCTGCACACAAACCACTTCCAGTAGGGCAGTTCAGAGAGATCAGGGCTGATGCTCCAGTCTGCATAAACTCCTCCTGCACTTCTGTATTCTCTGTATTTAAACCTTCCATGTGGTGTATTAAAATCCTGATGACTTGCTACTAAATTTGTGCAAATATTAGGACAGAGATTCGGTGTTGAACTGTAATATGTTCCATTGATTCCCCACACTCTGTGGAAAGGAGCACTGTGATCTCCATGATGGTTTTCCATGGTGTTGGTGCAGACGGCTCTACAGAACGGACACTGAACCCAACAGCACTGACAGAAGTGTTCAACTAGAAGCTCATCTGGCCTGAATTTACTCTCCAGCTTTACTGGAAATGACTCTGTGTTGAATCTACTGCTGATTTCAGTCATTATAGCAGTAAGTTCATGTCTTATCACATCTTCTAGGAGGCTGAAATCATCAACATCATCATGTTTGACTCCACTAAGGTCTTTTTCAGAGAAGATCAGCTCATCTGAGAGCTCCTGTGTGAAACTCTTCAACCACAAGCCAACATCTCCTCTGTTCTCTTGAACATATTCAGTGGATTCATGTGCAGCTTTTATTATCTTCTGCTGCAGGAGTTTAATTTTCACCTTCATCTTGGGTAAAACACTGACACTGAACTTATTAGTGATGTAACGACTGACCTCATCTCTGATGAACCTCTTGAAGTGATCTCTGGGATTATGAATGTACTTCATGTATTTGTTAAAATCCTCCTCTTCAGCCAGTGTCTTCAGGATGTGTTTCTCCAGATTTGATCTGTTTCCATTCAGTGACTCACAGTTTGCTCTCATTTCATCTGTCATATCTCTGGCGGTCTTCTTGTAGACGCTCTGCTCAATGGGCTCTTTCAGTTTCTGACAGATGATCTCACCAAAATTAGCAGCTGATATTGCTCCATGACAGTATTTCTGGAAAATACTATAGTATTCTTCTCTCTTCTTCTCAACATATATTACAGGATCATTGGCATCCCTGAACTGTCTGTGTTGGTCAGTGATAATCTTGTTTGCTCTCTTACAGATGGAGTAAACCAAATCCATGAAGAATTTATTCTTGAAGATATATTTCACTGGTCCTTCCTGATGTTGTGTCACTCTTGCATTGATGTAATCTGTGAGCTGTTGAATATAGCTGATGTTGTAGCCCATCTTTGAAATGTTAAATGACTGAATAATTCTCTCTGTCTGCAGATAAACATCTGTGATTAATGATCTTATTTGGGATTCATCCTGTAGAGATGAAATGTAACCAAGTGTCTTTTTAGCTGATATGTCTCTTCCCACAGCATGTATAAATTCACTGGATTTCTTTAACTGAACATAATCAGAATATCTTGGCACAGAGAAAATATCCCTTCTCTCCCCCCAGTGATCTACAGGTGCACTTTCACAGATGTCACTGAGGATCTCTCTCACATCTCTCATTATGTCAATGTCTCTGATTGGAGGATTGTCTGTGATGATTGTTTTCATCAACTGTTTCCAAAACAAATTAAACTCGTTCTTCAGCGTTTCTTTATCATTTGCTTTGTCTTTTAGTTTTATGACAAGTTCTTTGCTCTTTTCATTGAGACTGTTTTTATGATGTTTCCTCTGAGCATCAATCTTTTTCATCAGTTCTCGCTGCTGAATAATATTGTTTAACTTCCTCTTTGTTTCTCTCACAATGTTTTCCTGAAGCTCTTTGATTTTGTTTTCAAATGATATTTTCCAGTGAATCAGTATATCTTTATCTTTGTCTTTCTCAAAAAATTCTGCCATAGATTTTTTCACATCTTCATTTGTCTTCTTCAGTTCTCTTTGAAGATCAGTTTCCTTAACCTCATGAATTGCTTCATTTTCTATTTTGTTGTGTAGTTTGTTCTCAGTTTCCATCATGGCACTGCGAAGACTCCAGGTCCACTTGCTGTATTCGGTCTCCAGTTTCCTGTAGGCTGAAATCTCCAGAGAATTTCTGAAGCTGAAGACGAATCGTTCATTCAGTAAAGCCTCCCAGAGATCTTTAACACGATATTTTAGGTCTATCAGCTTTATGCCATGTGAGTTTGAGGCATGACACATAATAGTCTTCTTTAGTTCTTGTATATTCTCACAGTAGCTTGGGTTTGGTGGTGCCATGGGTGGCCTACCCTCCCAGAGCTGAGCGAAATACTTCACATCATTCTGAACATTAAATCCAATGACATCACTGAAACATTCTGCATCAGAGTCTTCCTCTTTAGCAGCATGTTTTGTCATCTCATCCAGTTTCTCCTGCAGTCGTCTCCTTCCATCCATGTTTTTCTCTCCAGCTGTGAAGTAAGAAACGTTCTGATGCACAAACACACAGCTGGGATTCAGCCTGACCTTCTTCATCCTCATGAAGGCCTGAACAACAATCTGAAGAATGTCCTGCATCTCAGATGGGTTTTCTCCAAAGATGTTGATCAATGTCAGATTTCCAAGACCAACAACAAATGTGGCCAATTCATTGTCATGATGTCTTGTTGATCTTCCAGCCAGTTCTAGAGCACGAAGACCCTCAGTATCAACGACCAGAATATAGTCAAAGTTAATCTGTGTTTTCATCTCATCTGAGACTCTGACCAGCTGCATGAAAGCTCCTCTGGTTGTTCTGCCAGCACTGACGGCAAACTGGAGCCCAAACATGGCGTTCAGCATGGTGGATTTCCCAGAGCTCTGAATCCCTAAAACTGACAACACAAAGACTCTCTGGTCTCCCAGTTTCTGGATGAGTTCTTCTATAACAGCAGAGATCCAGACCAGAGGAACATGAGCAGCATCTCCATCCATCAGCTCCAGTGGAAATCCAGAGATCATCATCTCTGCGGCAAGACTCGGGAGAGAAGAGAAGTCAAACTGCTGGTCTTTCTTTTGCTTCTTCACAGATGAACATGATTCATAGATCTGACCGATCTCTCTCATGATGTGCTCCAAACCAAAGCCTGCAGCTTGAAGATCCTCAGATATTCTCTCAAGTTCAGGTTGTTCAGCTTTGAGTTGTTCAGATTTATCATGATTCTCTTTCAGTTTCAAGACTGTTGACAAACATTTATGACTCTTCTGAGTTCTTCAGATACATCTGACTGATTTCTGTCTTTCAAACCAATTTTGTATTTTCCTTTTCGCATCCCAGTTACAGCAGATTCATCCTCAGTAAATAGACAAATGAGTGGCTTTCTGTCCTTGTACAGGCTTTTGATCTTTGCAGCATGTTTGTCATTCCTGTCCAGTCGTGGTAGAAGAACAACATTGACTGAGGCCATTTCAGAGAGGATCTGGAGCTGTTTCTCATGGTCTCCTGCATCACCGTGTAGATTACAGAACGCAACACAGTCCGTGAATTTATCATCATATGATCCAGACGGACAGAACCAGGCGATCTCCACCACTCCCTCCATCAGGACTCTGGTTCTGCTGCTGCCTGGGCAGTTCCTGTGGAAGAACGTGTTGTGTTTCTCATTGATCAGACTGTTCATCAGCTGAGACTTGGATGAAGACACAGAGCCAAACCTGAAGAAAAACACCATTGGAGTTTCTGCCTTGTAGATCGGCTGGATTCGACTGATGATTTCATTGTTGGTGTTTCTCTTCTTCCAGCTCTTGCTGATTTGTCTGAATGTCCAGAGAGGAAACTCAATCTGTTGTGTGAATAGATCAGGAACAAGCAGAGGCAGAGCGTACTGACACTGGGACAGTTTAGTGACCATCAGCTGCTTCAGGAGAACATCAGCAGAATGAAATACGGCCATCTGAACATCCATCGGGTGAATGAGTTCAGATTGACTGTCTTCTTTGTCTGACATTAATATTACATCAAACATATCAAACTCATCTTCAGATGAGTCTTTGTCTTTTTGTTGTGCGTCTTTAGTTTTAATATATCTTGCTCTGTAGTTCATCATCAGTAGTTTGTGTGTGAAAGTTTGAATCAGCTCTTCTTCAACACAAGAATCATGTGACTGTAATGAATGTGCGGTTATCTGAAGAACATCTGCAGCTCTCAGTTTATTGTGAAGATGAAGTCTGTGAAATAGATGCTTTAATGCCCCGTCACTTCCAAACACAACCAGATTCAGCTTCTCTCCCTCTGAAACTGATCAAAGAAAAACAAGTGCTAGAATTCACAAACATACACACATGCAGAATTGGTCATTTTGTGATTATTCTCCTGCTTAGCATTTACAGAGCTAAATATTAAAAACTGATCATAGACAGTTCATCAAATCTATATAACTATATCATAATGCAGTTACTGTAAATCAGTTTAACGCACAGTTCGGGCGATCCAACTCTGGACTTCTTCTTTCCACTGAAACACACACACACACACACACACACACACACACACACACACACACACACACACACACACACACACAGATTGTTATTACAGGAATTAATTCCACATTAATTTAAAACACACACACACACACACACACACACACAAACACACACACACACACACACACACACACACACACACACACACACACACACACACACACACAAACACACATTGTGTACTACAGGAATTAATTAATTAAATGATTCAGAATATCTTCTATAGATTCTGAATCTAGAAGTAATATCACCAATCAAAAAAATAAAAAAAAACTCTCTGGTGAAAATCCAGCTTTTAATGTTGTTTATGTGTCTATGTGGTGTTTTTAATACGCTTTAAGACACACCATGTGTAAGTTCATACGTCGACAACATTGCTGAGTATTTTCTGCTTAAAACTGCAGTGAACCAAAGACAGTCTCAAAAACAAGGTTTGAAATCGCTGGTGTTTCTGACGTCACAAACGACCTTGTAACCAATCAGATCAACATGTGATCGTCAACCAGTGGATCTCTGAGCTGAGTGAGTGGAGGCGGGGCTCATTTGCATATTCATAGAACCGCGAATACTAAATGAGGCAAGGGTGTCGAGTTACATTCAAAATATTTTAAGGCCACATCCACACGAAGCCAGAGCTTTCCCTATCAGCTTTTTTTTTTCTTTCCTCGTCCTAAAAAAAATTCCGTGAACACAGCGTCGTCGTCTAATATCTAAAATATCTGCACACGAAACCACAGAAACTGGCTCAAAACGATGTAGTATACATACCAGACAAGTATGTGGCGCTGTAATTCTGCCACAGAAATGCACAATGAACGGAGAAGAAGACTTAGACCATGCGCATAAACCTTACGCGCTGTATACAATAATATTAGGCATAGTAGCTTCTTCTTTTCTTTTTTCTTTTTTACGAAGAACTTTATTGAACAATATGAACAACCATAAATGGCCTGGTACAAAATAGGGATGAGTCACGATATTCGATTAGTTAGCGGACGCATAAAGCTTGCCACAAAGAACCGGCAAAAGTAATCATTATGAATGTATCAAATATAGCGAGGAGACATTTTAATTGTTTATTAATAAACTAATGTTTTCTGTGTCAGTCTCGGCTGCAAAGATGTTAACGATCCTGACTCGCCACCTAGCAGTATTGTGAACGTGCCTATAGAGAGAAATGCACACTTTATACTACGGATTACATAAGAGGGTTTTCTGTGTTTTTTTCGTTTTGAATTGTTTTGTTTTAAAGTAGACATTTCAAGCTTTCTATAGATAAATATTCTGAGTTTCGGTTCCTTTATGAGACGAGCTCCAGTTCATGAGCAATGCAAGTAATATCGCTGGCCTGATTATATTGTCTGCTATATTTGCTTGTTATTTATTAAATTCTGGCAATTGGTTGATGAAACATTGATTAAAATTAAGATACAATTTATGCAAAACGAAATTCACTTTAACCCTCTGGGGACGGCAAACGCGCCGGCGCGTTTTGGCAGATTTTTTTTACATAGCAGAAAAATAGACTTAAACTACTCCATCATTTCTGGTCATACAGTGTTAAGAAATATTAAAAAAATAAACTGTTAAATGTCTACATTTTGATGTGCCCACCTACAATCGAAATAAAATATTGTGCTTTTGTAAAATAAAGAAAATAAACAGGGTGTGCGTTCTGCCTCTCCGTGTCCGTGAACTTTTTTTCTGGAGCACGTCTCTAAACTTAAACAAAACTCAGCGAATACTATTCACCCAGACATGAGCAATATATTTGTTTATGATAATTTAAGTTTGTACTTTTAAATTATCTAATTTAAAACTAAAATAAATATTCTCTGTTTATGTAATCTATATAAAAAGAGAGAGGTGTCAGCCGTTCTCATTATCGTTCTCGCATCTCATTATTCCGCTAATGTGACGCCCTCGGAGAGCGCGCGCTATTCAAACGCTAATGATCTGAAGCAACACATTGAGACGTGTAAACGCCCATATAAACTCGGTAAACACACTATATTTAGTCAGATTAATGTACTGTCATCTTGCGCTGCTGTGAGGAATAATCCTGGGACATTTACCTACCTCAGAACAAGTGCTGTTTTATTTTCACTTCGAGGAGCGAGCTGAACTGTAAGTGTTTTATTCTTGTGCTTTGTTCTAATCGCGATATATAATAACGTTAGTGTCTGTAAACGCAAAAATAGCCTACTGTTTAAATTTGAATCATGTTTCTGTGTGTGTGTGTGTGTGTGTGTGTGTGTGACTAGTTTTGGATACACTCTAAAAAACGATTCGTTGGCTGAACAACCATTACTTATAAAAGTTATTAGATTTAACACAAAAAATTAAGTATTCATAACTTTTCAACCTCTACTTAACATATTTAGTGTGTGTAACACAAAAATATAAGTAACTAGGTGAACTTAAATGTATGCATAAATAAAATGAAAAAACATAAGTCATGTCAACTACTATAATAATTGCTTCAAAATTAAGTAAATCGAGCATAACATTTTAAGTAACTATACCAGCCACGTGATATGCAATTTCCCGTGATGCCTTTCCAGCCAAAAATTGGAGCCATTTTGTGAAGCACATAATGTGAAGATGCTGAAAAGAGGTAAGCTTAACTTTTTTTAACTTAAGGTACACAATCGTTTATTGCATTTTTGGTCAAGAAACGAACTTTTAAACTGAATTTCAGAATTGCTACGAATTTTGCATCAACAATTAGAAACGTGTTACGAACACCTATGTAGTCTACAAGTTAATGTATGAAATGAGTGACTTGCACGAGAGTATATTTGAATTATTAAGCGAGTGTGCTTCCATCGAATAGGCTATGTCAAGTGTTTATAGTAGTCAGAGTATTTATTGTGTTTTTCGAAATATATGACCATGACGTTGGCACGTATACATTAATGGTGTGTTCACACCGAACGCGAATTTAATCATTTGCGCGAGTAGATTACAAAGTCAATGCACGAATAGACGCACGAAGACACGAATAGACGCATCATTCGCGCCGGGCGTCGCGAATGACGCGAATTGGGTGACGAGTTTGCCGCGAACGTCTTCCACGCAAGTTGAAAAATTTGAACTCGAGCAGATTCAAGCGTCTAACTAGACGCTATTTGACGCTCTATTCGCGTTCGGTTTGAACACACCATAAGAGGACAATTCGGACGGCGCTTTCCCCCACGGATAAATTCGTAGGCCTACTTTATTAACGAAATATAGTTATCATTTATTATATGCAGGCTATGAGTTTTCGGATTAAAAAAAATTACTTTGCATATTTACAAATTCCCATATATTCTATTCTCTAATATCTATAAATGGATCGCGGGAAAGGGGGGCGTCCAGGCCTTGGGCGCGGGTTAGCCTACTGGTAACGTTCGTTAACATACAAATATTAAATTCGAAAACACATTGGCTACAGCTCCGTGTGCACGATTTATCATTAAATAATGGCGATCTTGATTCAAACACAATATTATTCCTAAATGACAGCTACAACCCTGTCTATTAAACCTTCAAAATTATTATCAAAATAAGTAAATACCCTTTAAGCAAAAGTTTGACTTCAAACAAAGATTGTAGATCTTTATTTACTGTTTGGCTATTCCAGTAGTGACTGACTGTTAAAATGTTTTGAAGAGATTCGTTCAAAACCTCTGGACAAAAGTCTTCATTAATTAACTTGTTTTGTTTAAATTAATAGATATTATTTAATAGACTCATTTTTATATTTATAGGCATTTAATAATTGACTAATTTGTAACATTTAATTATTGTTTTTTTCTTTTTAGATATATTTTTGATAACCAGAAAAAAATTTGTATATATATATATATATATATATATATATATATATACACACACACAACTAGTAAGATTGTTTAATGTTTTTAAAAGAAGTCTCTTCTGCCCACCAAGCCTTCATTTATTTGATCCAAAATACAGCAAAAACTGTAATATTGTGATTATTATTATTATTATTTTTTACAATTTAAAACAACTGTTTTCTATTTGAATATATTTTAAGATGCAATTTAAAAGTTTTGGGTCAATTAGAACTTTTTTTTAAAGAAATAAAATAAATTAATACTTTTATCCAGCAAGTATGCATTAAATTGATAAAAACGTGACAGTATAGACATTTATAATGTTGCAAATGTAAGAGGCTGTAAGAGATTTATTTTATTTTAAAATATAAAGGTACATTTCTTTCTCATTCTGTGTTTCAATGCAATTGATTTTTTGCAACAGTCTGAACAATAACAAGTGATGTTGCACGTAAATGCAGATTTCCTGTTTTTTTTTTTAATGTTTTTTTTTATACTCATAGGAACGAAGAGGAACTGGAACATCTCACATTGAGGATCATCACGAAAGGTGGCTCAGTAGATGATCCTTCACAGACTGGGGTAACGCTGGAAGGCATTGAGGTGATGAGTCACGAACGCTGTGCTAAGTGAGCTGGTCAATAGGAATTACGTTTGTGAAACTAATTACATGGAAATGCATGAATTAAATCTGTTTATTAAAATAGTTTCTTCCGGAAACAACGGACCATATTATGAGATTCCAAGTCACAGTTCATCTCACTTAGCACGGCGTTCGTGGCTCGACTGGTCGAGACTGTTTACCAAGATGGCTCCTGCCTGTATACGCGTAATGTACTGTCTTTATAAAGTATCTTCTTATTAAACTGTCTGTACACTTACAAAGTTCTCAATGCTTCGGTTTGCA